AAAATACAATTAAATATTTTATGTAATGTATTAAATATTTTATTTAAGTTATTAAATATTTTATTTTCTTTTATTTCAATTTATAAACGATGATTTTAAGTAAAATTTTTTTTAAAAAAACATTTAAATATTATCATCGTTAAATTTATGATCTAAGCCCAGTAATAAAAAAACGTATTGAAAATTGGTCGTAATAACAATTAATTAATAACTTAAATTTAAGATATAATACTTTGTATTCTAAATATGCTTTTCTTTGTTAAAACTTGTTATTAAAATAAAAGAATTTTAAAAGTTAATAACCTTTAACTAACAAATATATGGAAATGATCAAATTTCTTCAAAAAATGAAGATATATACATTCTTATGTATATATATATATACATTATTTGTATGATCTATTTATGAAAAATTTCTTAAGAAACTGTACAGGTAGTGAATGAAATTAACTACGGTCCTTTACTGATCTTTTCATTTTAACTACTGTGCTTCATAACCAATAAACCTAAAAAAAATATGAATATGGATGCAGATAAAGCATTTTTAGATGCTTTCATCGAATGTTAATAAAAGTAATCGCTGTTTGTGGGATGTCCAAAGCTGTGAATATAAAGATCGCAAAAAAAAACGCGGCATATATAAAACATACAAAATTATAAGCAAAGCGCAACCTATACGTTAACTATCAATTTTTTCAATTTTAAAATTTTATTTTAAACACACAAATTTTCACAACATTACCCGCAAAAGCACTCTTCAAAAATTTTGCCTACTCTTGTGTGTCATACCTGTTCAAGTTCGGTCGCTAGAAGAAATTTGAGCAAGAGAGAGCGCAACTCGTATGACACACCAGTATGATAGTCTGCACCGCGCTTAAAACTAGCAACTACATAATTGTGTTAGTACGCCGGCAAGCACTAACACAGCAGAGGAGCATGTATACACATTAACATATTAACTCACTAAAGTGAGGTTTCATATTGCAGCATTCTGGCTGCTTGGATATGGCTAAAGTCAGTGATGGGAATATGCTGAATAGGTATATTCACAACTTTGTACATTGATTATTTTGTATGAACCTTAATATGCATTTATGGAATTATATATACTAGAGTCGCCAGAGGTAGAAATTCGACCAATAGAAAATACAATTTTTAATCAATATTAATAATATTCAAATTTTATTGAAAAATTTGAATAAAATGTGAACAAAATCTAAAGAAAGTTGTAGAAAACAATTTACAATAATAAATTTAAGTTAATAGTTCATTCTCGTGCAAAATCATTTGTTCTGTTTCTGGTTTTGGCTTAATTTTTCCTCCCGTTTTAACTTAACTTTCTGCTGCGTACATTTGTTCTTCAGATGATATCGGAAAGCTATCGGCATAGGAATCAGCAATTCATTCAGCGCAGAACAGCACCTTCAATTGATCGCGGTTATTATTCAATGAATTACGTTCAATTTTCAATTGATCGCGTTTATTCTTTATTCTTTGCACAACATCTCGCTGCCGTCGTAAATTGTCAAACAAGTTCTTCTACTCTGCCATCACGAAATCAAATCGCTGCATGCAGTGAAGGCAAGAAACAAAGAATTGAAATTGGCAAATAAACGAATGAAAAAATTGAAATATTGAAAAACTTTCAAACTGAACTAAATCTAAAATGATAATAATGTTTAATAATAATTCTGTATTTTATATTACAAAGTTCTCAAAACTTCAGTGTAAACAATATTTTTCGTAAACTCCCTTTCATCATAAGCCAAATGACCTTGTACACCTTCATTACTGACATAAAATTTAAGCCCGTCAAATGATCTAACTTTACTGGCTGCAACGTAAAGTTGACCATGCGAAAAAACAGGTCTCCTCAACAATATTCCAACTCTATCAAATGTCTGTCCCTGGGATTTGTTAATTGTCATAGCAAATGCGGTGAAAATTAAATGGCAGTGCAGTCCCTGAATACGTTAAGTGTATGCGTGGAATGAAAATACGTTTTCCGTGAGCAACTCCAGTAAGTACTTCACAATCTATTGTGTTATCATGCATTGTTTTGACTCGCATTCTCGTCCCATTCATTAAAGCTTACTTCGTATTCAAATTTCGAATTAACAAAATTATCGCATTAATTTGGAGGTCAAACTTATGTGGTGATAAACCACTTACAATCAAAGTATTCAAAAACATTCTTCTTCAAAAGGTTCAAAAATATCGAGATCAGCAAATTCTAGTATTATTGTAGGTGTACGCAAACCAAGTGACGTACATGTAACATTATGTGTTAACAAAATA